CTGTAGCATCCAGAACAAAATCTTGTTTCTCTCTCGCTTTTCGTCTTCATTTTTACCAAGTGTGTAAATCGCTTAAAGCAAGAAAAGCATACTATCGTGAAGACAATTTTTAGTAACAACACAGTCCATATTTTTTTCTGAAGTTTTTGCCGATGTGGTGAGGAAATCCCCATTATATAGCAATAACAGACGCGATTGGTCGCCCACCCCGCCCCCCAAACCTACTCCGTGGGTTGGCTGATAAACAAAGTCACCGAAAAAGTTCATAACTGAGTGAAATGTGGAGGGAAGTCATAGCAGCGACTTGCTTGTAAGGTAATTACCTGATCTCCCGCACTATGCATTGAATCGGCTGCAACTATTGTCATTTTATTGGGAATTTTTTCTAGCACATTGACAGAAACTTTAGATAGGAACGTGGATTCTGATTCTACAGAAAAATCCCCACACGCTGATATGCTTTTAGCGCTTTCAGAATTTTATATTTGTGATAAAAATGAAGGCGAAAAGAGGTTGAGAAACAAAAATTTATTCCCGGATACTACAGCGTTATAAAGGGGAGTTTTGAAAAACGGATGACGTGGAGTTGTAGCTAGAAATCTGTGCCTTCGAACGATTGTCAACAATCCTATGAAAAATTCTCGTTCAACGAATGAGATCGGCTAAAAAATATGTCTTCCTCTAACATATAAGTACCACATTTTCTTTCTCACTCAAGTATCTTTTGCTGACAGATGTATTCATTCAAACTTTCAAACTTCAACAACCATTCAACAACACAAATTTCAGCGATCTCAGTGAAGAACTTGGTTTTTCAGAAGGACGTTCTAATGCGTTGTTAGAGCTAGAAGATTATGCGTTTCACACTCGGCGCCGTGTTGACGTGCAGCGGAATTGATATATGGCATGTGGTGTGTAACGAGTATGACATTCAATTTTCTTTTAGCTGTAAAGGCGTACTAGGAAATTTTTTGCTCAGAAATTAAGCATTTCTTCGAATTTGTTAATAATTGCGCGATCGCATGGGTTTGAAAGTCTGATAGAAAAGCGCGACTAGCGAAAAACACCCAGATGTGCATCACAGTTTTATTCTTGTTGCTCCAGCTCGTATTAATACTGACATTAATGATAATATTAACATATCAAACACAATAATTACATATTAACATAACATTTATATTTTTTGTAGCGGTTCTTATTCTGATCAAAAAAGATATTTTGGAGCCTAATTATTTGCGATTTGAAATTCACGGTACTGATTGCCGTACTTTCGAGCCACCTTGAAATTTCGCTTCATTTCAGGTGTTTAAGTTCCAGTTTGTTGTCGAAGCAAAAAAAAACAAGTACTATTGTCCCTTTACAACATTTTCAACAAATTTTTTATGAGCGAAATAAATTCTTTCTTTAAAGTGACAGGGAGTTCTAAAACTGCAAGATACTCACAAAACTGCGTTTTTAGAGCTTTGCGTTCGGCTGTGACTCCTCAGATGGCGTGGATGAACGAATGCCTTTCTATAGGTCTTACACACATATTGTCTTTCGCTTGTGTGAACAGAGTGAATGCGTGCAGATAACGCCTTAACAAACCAGTGAAGAGTGAAATTAGAACACATTTGAGCTGTACATTGTAGATTTTGAGTGATGATGCATGGAAGACTTGGGGCAATAGCGGCGCTCTTTAGATATATCCTTGGTCATTATAAATTCCAGATTGTCATTTAATCACGTCCAGTGATGCTTAAGAAACATCACAGGATAGCGGATTCTTCCGTGAATGATCATTGCCACGCCTCATCTTGTTTTATCTCTAAATTTGTCAAGTATTCTTCTCAAGGTCACTTGCACTGGCGCACATTCCGCTTGAAAGTCTCTTTGGTATGATTTCGTAGTGTGAGGTGTACTACTCAGTGGCACGTAAATCGTCTGCAGCTGTGTATGCAGATGATTTCGCTCTCGGCTACAAGGGATTCATTCAAGAAATACTTTCGTTATTCTCAGATTCAACATTCCGTTCTTCTCGACCATATTTTTAGCTACGAAAAATTGTCTCATGGACTGTCCTTTTATGAGGCATGCACAATCTTAATATATCTTTCCCAAAATTGTAGGCTATCGTTTCGAAAGACTTTGCTTCTTCCGGAGTCTTCATGCAACCTATGATACCGATGGTAGTCTCACAACTGAAAAGAGCTCCGAAGAAGGCGAAGTCGCTAAGACCATCGATTGAATATATCACACTCGCATAAGCTTCTAATGAAATAACATTCGCATAATATATCCCGAGGTTTAGTAAAAGTCATCTTTCAATCTAATAATGGAAATGATAATTCTACTGAATGACCGTTAGCGCTTTATGCGGCTAGCACTTTCACCATTTGGGGACCGTCATTGATAGCAAGCGGCTTCGCGCTGATCGCTTGCGAGACGACCGCAGGCAGGTGATATGCGCACATTGATCGTTACTCCAGATTCTGGCCGACTGCCTTGCCCCTGACGCGACGCCACCACTACAGTAGCTGAGTGAGATGCGGCGTCGCGCGGCGTGCTGCGTTGGTAGCACATGGTCCTCAAGAGTTAAATGTAGTTCATTATCTTCACTTCTGCATAGGTTTTGCACATTTGAAACCCCTGTAATACTCGTCGGATAATCGAGCTCGGAATTTGTCTGCTGCGTGGAAAACATGAAATCGGACATGTCGTCCATCTGAATGTTAGAGATATCACCAAATTGGCTCCTCTGAGTTATATGTTTCTAGATCACAAGAAATTAGTAAAATCAAAACATGAAGTGGATGTTGATGCCTGAATAGCTTTCTTGGTACCTATTCGCTATCTCCACCCTATTTCAGCTCACTGGGAAAGACGCGTTTTCTAGTTTTTTAGAGAGATAATAGCCATTCGCTAGCCTGGATTTCTAGAATTTCAATGGTCAATTTATTTACAAAAAGGGATCCTTATTGCGCTATGACAATAAAAATAAAATTGTATTTTACCCATAAGCATTTTTTGCAGCACAAAGTTTTTTCTACGTTTTAATAACCATAAATCGCGACGATTTCAATGAGGAAGTTGGTTAGCGGAAAGAACTTTCGGCTGAGCTGTAGCGGCCAAAAGAAAACCGGTTTCGCAGTCGTCGCGCATTCGTTCGCGCAGCGCGATTCATGTGTTGCGTGCGATTTCCGTTGTTGAATTAAGGATTTTCTCTCCGCTTCAAGAAAATTCAGGATGAAAATTACAACTGTGATACTTTGAGATATCCTCTACACATTCATATGTTTTTCGTGCATCGGATTGAGCTATTTAGTTTTAGGCTTATTGCGAGTTTATTTGGCAACGTGAAATGAAAATTGAAAGCCTGAGCTTACAGAACGATAGGACAAAGCTTTTGCACGGTTACCTTCAATATCGTATAAATTAATGTTGCCAAATAAACGCTATTTTTAAGAGGTGCGGTGGCTTTATGTCAATGTGGCGAAATTCCATCCACTTATCAGAGGAAAGGATGCAGACCGAGAGCGAAACTCAAATTTCTTTTGGATATTACACCGCACGAAGAAGCTATTTTCTATGACCGAGTACACCATTGAGATTATCGAGAGTTCCGCTATCGAATGATTACTAAACCTTTGACCAAATGCAAAAAAACCCAGTTCTTTCCAAAAGAATGGAAGGTACAGATAACAGAAAAAGTGTTTCTGTAGCAAATACTGAAGAACTTACTGACAGATCTTCTGCGAGAGTATCGCCAAGATTTTTCAAAGTGTTGGTTAACGACGTACGCAATTTCTCCATGTTTAGGCTCTAGGCTACCTTGCCCACATTGGCTGAAAACTACCACAAGGCAGTGAAGTCGTCAGAGTCATTCTCTGTCGCCCATCTCCATAAGAAATCGAAGTACAATAGCTAAAACTCAAAGATTCAGCAAATCTAGCAAGTACAAAAGATGTCTGAGATTAGTGAGTAGTATACAAAACACTCGACCCTAGTCGGGAGTTGAACCCGCCTCTTATCCATACCGGTAGCGTGTGCTACCTTTACACCACAGAAACCACCACTTTGCTTCAAGTCTTTCTTTAATATAAACTATCAAAGCTGTCAGCAACCAGCCTTCAACGGGTCTGGTCTGGCAATCGTATATCGATAGATCATATCGGGTAGTGGCAGCAAAGTGGTGGTCTCTGTGGTTTAGTTGCAAGAGCCCCGCTATGGGGTGAAACGCGGGTTCAACTCCCGCCTGATGCCAAATGTTTTGCACCCTACTGAACATTCTATGATGAGTGATTAGAATATCCTAACACTGCTAAAAAAGAATAAAACTAAATGAATCTCATATAGCAAGGCTAAGTCGAATGTATTCAGGTTATTAAAAATGAGAGTTGCAGACAAGGCCCATATTTTACGACAACAGTGGTGCATGTGGCGCACTCGTTGGAGGTGCTCTGCGTCGCACACAAGGTCGATAGTTCGGTCCACGCTTATGGTTTATCAAGCCTTTCATCCCACTGAGGTCCCTAGATTGCTACCACACTTTTCTGGAAGGATAAGCAGCACTGACCCGACACAGCCGGAGGACACCGCGAGTCATTGTAAACCCAGATATGCATTCAATCGCCTAAAATGAAGTCAAAAATTGAAGATGAATTCATGGCGCTTCCTTTGAGGATTGACCAACGCCAAGAGCTTTAACCTTCATCCTGCTGTCATTGCGTAGATGGAGGCAAAGCTCATCCAATAAGGACCAAGTAAGGTGGCTCGAATTTGACCAAGCGGAATAGAGCACAGCTCTTTAATGAAGTGGATGATTGTGGACAATCTACCTAAGTTTCTGAGACTCTGGATAAGACAAAGAGAATTGAGTGGTGAGCAAAAATGCAACTTCAGACGGGAGTCGAACCCGGGTTTCATTCACACGGGTCACGTGTGCTACCAGTACACCACCCAATGTACATTTGCACCGCCACTCATTCTTCACTGTCTCAGCTATCAGCCACCAACCTTTGACCTCGGTGGTGTAGTGGTAGCACGTCTCCGCGGTATGGATGAAACGAGGATTCGACTCCCGTCTGAAGTCGTATTTTTGCTCACCACTCAATTCTCTTCGGTTTAATTTACTGTGGGACAAGGCGAAAATAACAAAAGCTCGGTCCCAGTAGAAATTTTTTAGCTTCACAACAGCATTGATCCGACATCTTTCTGTGAAACCTGATGGATCTCTCAAGTCGGAGAAGAGAAAACCGTCACAATCGGGTGAAATAAATCATCATTCGGCATTTCGATAAATAGTGCAAGAAAAAAACAGCAATCCCAGCAGCGCAGTGGTCAGCGCTCGCCCCGGAAAGGGTTAGACGCAGGTTCAACTTCCTCCTAAGGTTTCATCCTTTCAATGCAGTCTTGGCATATATCTATAAGGTAACAGTGTTGCCACCAGAAGCGGCTGAATAGGAAAAGAACATTTAATGCCGGCGCCACTACTAAGAATGTCAGCAGGTTTGCCGACTGCGGAAATTTGAATGCTGTGAGATTGGAAACAGTGAGCAATTATTATACGTAAGAAGACGAAAATAACAACAACTCGTTTTCGGGCATCTTGTGGTTATAAGGGAACAAATGAAAAGCTCGCCTGATTCGCTGGAGAGGAAATTTTCATAGGAATGTTAGGAACCATTCGAATTCTGAGATTTCTAGCTGCAGCCCCACATCGCCGGTTTCAAAAAAGTCTTTTTTGGCGTTGTTGAAGAAAGAAATTCCTTGAGTAGCAGACTCGTATATTTCTAGTCGGGTACAGAGCTCTTTCTTTGGACCATCAGTAATCTTTCGATAGGGTAATCGTTGCTGATTCTATCAACTCATTTTATTTACTTCATTACAGAGCAACGGTTTATCAGGATATAAGCACAGCGTTGAAATAAGCAACGATTACGCTATCAAATGATTACTGATGGTCCAACGAAAGAGCTCTGTTCAGCGAAAATGCGTACGTGTGCTATGCAAGGAATTTCCTTCTGCTACAACGCCAAAAAAGGATTTTTCGAAAACCGGCAATGTGGAGCTGTAGCCAGAAATCTCAGCTTTCGAATGGTTGCTAACACTCCTACGAAAAGTTTGTCTCCAGCGAAAGAGGTTGCTTCTTCGTTTGTCACCATAACCACAAAGTATCTTTTTCAATCCATAAAGTTTTATTCAAATCCACGTTACGGTGTTGTGAGAGTGATTTGTTATTTTTGACTGCCCTTTTCACACTGAATGACATGTTCAGATGATTTGAGGTTTTTGTCCTACAGTTTAGCCACTCTTCTCAGCTGCTTCATTTTTCACAATGTACTATACTCGATGCGAAGATGCAGACGACGACTGAACGATTTGTCCCAAGACCTCTATTATTTCTAAAACTCGGCACTCTTCAAGAACTCTTTCTTTCCTAGTGAGCTTGACCTAAAGTTCTTACAGTAATATTTATCAAACTGCTGACTTGAAGAACTCACTAAAAGGCTCTCAAAGGAGAGGAATATGTTGTAGAAATAATTTTTGTGCTTGTCCGATCGAATATCTAGGTTCGCTAATTTGTACTAATGAAGTGATGGAGGTGTTTGACTGGCTGGTTGTGGACAACCTCATCTTTCAAGACTCTGAATAGGGCGGAACCGCCGAAACGTATTGTGATATATGACTTTTAGTGTTTCCTTATTTTAGATTGTGTTATCTACGTCGCTCTGACTAAGCTTCTGTAGCTGGATTGAATGCATTCGATCTCCATGAAGCTTTAGCAGTTGCATTTAGAGACAGAGTAAAAATCCCTAAAAAGGCTGCTCCAGAACTATTATTTGGAGAGAAAGGCTTGCACTAGCAAGAACTAATCTCACTGCCGCACATGCAACAGACTTCCATTTATGACGTTAGACGGTAAGCTTAATAAATAAAAAAGGATAAAGCTCTCGGCGTTGATCAATCCCTGAGAGATGCGCCATGCATTCGACTTCAATTTTTTAACTTCGTTTGAGGTGATTGAATGCACGTCTGTCCTTTACAATGACTCGCGGTGGCCTCCCGCTGAACCGAATCAGTGCTGCTCATCCTCCCAGACAAGTCTGAGACCTGTCTGGTATCAATTTACCGACCCCGGAGGGATAGATGGCTTGGTGAGCCATGAGCGCGAGATCGAACCAGTGACCTCGTGTGCGACGCAGTGCACCTCTAACCTCTGCGCCACATGCGCTCTAATTAAATCAGAAGTTAATAGGGAACGTAAAATTTTGAAATGATCGACACAAGCAGTTAAGGGACGAAAATGCTAACCTATAGATATAATATTACGTTCTCAACTAAGGATCACTTTGTTCCTTTCTCATACTCTTAATAGTGACTTATGGCAACCTCTTATGCAAACCCAAAGTCCTCACTGATTATCCTTCGTTTTGATCTTTGCTCATTATGCAGACCATGTACACATCTATCTGTTGCTGTGTCACCACTTTGGGTATGAGTCAATAAATGCCCTGGTCGAGTGAAGCTTGGATTGAGCAGGAACATGATTCGATTTCTTGCTACAATCATCTTAACGTCTTCATCCAATCGTGGCCTTCTTTATGAAAGAGAGTTGACTGTCTCTGCAATTTGGTGATGGCAGTGCTAGGGCGTTTACAAATCTTCATCACATGCAGTTAGCACCACAAGCGAATTGGATAAAATGACTTGATTTCACATACATCTTTCAAAAATTCGTGAATCCGGAAGGATGGAGGTATGGTTTGGCCTTCTATGGAGTCTGGCCAACACCTTCAGTGTAATAATTGTACCTTTATGTATTATGTTTACATTTACAAATGTTAAAAATCAACAAATTTTTTTGGCTATTTTTCCGAAATGTTAGGCAAGTGAGTACTACAAGTCGGAGGGCACCATCAAGCTTATATGTAATTTTTAGACTTTTAGACGTATAGGAGCAGTAGCGGTTGAATAAGGAAAAGAGACGAGATCTCCCTCACTTACAAACACTTTGCTACCTCTTAAGCTCTGCCAAGTACTCAACCTTAGTTCACACGACAGTTTGCCTGTGTCCCTTTTGGCCTGCCAAGTTGGTTATTTGCAATGCCGGAGTTTGAGCACAACGTAGGTTATAAAACCTCCATAAAAGTGCTTTAATGACAACAACGACAAAACAACGATATCGCCATGTGTATAAAATAAATAGAATCTCATGATCAGTTGACATGTGCAACATAAGTAGTGTACAGAAACTAGCATAGACGCTTCTATGATACAATAAATTCATGATGTTCTGTGAGAAGAGAGACCTATCATACAAGAATCTCTTAAGCTCCACAACTCAGCAGGAAATCTCAACATTCGGAAGTCCTATCCACAGAATCAAGGAGAAAAGAGATGATGGGAGCAGTGAATAGATTATTTGAAATGTGAGAACTTCACTAGGTGATCATTGTGAACAAGTTGTCTTGCTAAGCAGAAAATGGTTCAGTATTCATTGTGGCATATTATCATGCCATGCTTGGCGGATAATCATGGAAGGATGAACACAGCGAAAAACTTTCAAACACTTTGAGTGGTAATGGCTTAAAAATGCAAAAAGTGAGTGAACGATTCCGGCGTAAACATGCCGAGATTTCAAAAAAGTCGGCCTTTCAAATTAGTGGAAGGACTATAGCAAACCTCCCAAGGGAGTTTTGCAATCTTTTCGGGAGTTACATTATATTTTAGGCAACGCAGATGGTCCGTGACTCTAGAGAGCAAGTGGTATCGCAAAAGTTCGAGAACCTTTGAGAGAAAATGGTCCAAGTGGCGAGAGCGGCATCCAGCTGGCAGCAACCTCATTAGTCAATTCGATCAGGGGCCATCATCCGAACGGTCGTTTGACTTCATCCAGACCACCTCACCTTAAATCGTAATCGATCAATTATTGCTCTCTCCACACAATCTCGTTGTCATGTACCTAATTGCTATCATAAGGTTTTGTTCATATAATTGTTAAATGAACTCAATAGAATTGTGAGCGGAACATATTGCTTCCGTGGCGGGGCGAACTCACTTAGGCTATGCTCGGCCCACCACCGCGGTCAAGGGATTCTACCCATATATAATCAGTAGTGACCCCACTGCTAACACACTATATATTCACCCACTGGATCCCACCGTTGGCTTGTTACTCCGGGGCGAACATAATAACTCAAACGGGCTCCGCCGTCTAGTGATGTTTCGTCAGTTATAATAACATCGTCACTTACAGTAACATCACCACTTACAATAACATCATCACTTACGATCATCATCACTTAAATAACCTTATCACTTACAATAACATCATAACTTACAATAACACCACTTACCACAACACTGTCGCTTACGGTAACATTCATAGTATCGTCGGATGACGATACATCTCATTAATACATCACTCATATTGACTTAGGCATATGTTAGCATAACGATATGTCGTAATCATGTATATATTGTTATTATGCTATCATTATGTAATCTATGTTTATTATAGGTTGATTGGTATAGCCCAAATGAAGGATTTGAACTTTGCTCTCTTGTCCGTTGCGAGACACGAGTTGGCAGCAGATCAAAACAACAAGACCATTGAATTTTCATCACAAGAACTTCATATATAAATAAGTCATGAAGTAGACGAGATAAAATTGTCTCTAGTCTTTTGACAAATTTCAGATGACAATACTAAGTTAGCTAGCTGTTGCCATTATCGTCAACGAGTTACGAGTCTATGGTGGACATTCCTCTACAAAAAAAGCCTGAAGTGAAACTGTTTTCTCCAACTTCTTTCATCGACTTATTTGTTTCTCATCGGCTGTTGACTGCATGAAGTAATTGAGTTTACTAAACTAAACCTTAGTGGCGATTCCAAAGAGAAGGTCGATTATTCATTGATGGCGTGTAGGACCCAATAGTTTACGGTATGGTTAGCATGCAGAGGATATCGGCAGTCCATCCTATGAATGTACCTATAAACATTGAAATAGGCTGTGAGCCACGCAAAATAATGACTTTTTCCAACTTTTTTCCATCTTTGACACCAGGAGTTTCTATTGCCCACTATTA